ATGTGGCTCAAAGCAAAGCTAATAAGCCTGAAGACATGATATCAGAAGACTGATTGTCCTGGAAGTTGAGGTCGCTGCATGATTAAAAATGGTTGTTTAAAAGTATCAGATCCTTTAAGAATCTTTCAGAAGGTCTTCGACCCTTGATGGCTGTTTAATAGGTTTTTAAACCCTTAAATGTTGTTTCTTGAAGAAGTAGACAGTAGTTGATTGTTTTAGATACTTTGAATCCTTAAAGACTCTGAGGAGGTGTTGGATCTTTGATGGATATTTCCAGAAGTTATAAACCTCTAATGACTGTTTAAGGAAGTGTTAGTTCCTTTATGGCTGTTTCAGGATGTTTTAGACGTTTGGTGGCTGGTTCCTTAAGTTCAAACCTTTTTGCATGGTTCAGATAATGTCAGGCTCTTGGTAACTTTTCCTCATCCTTGACAGTGAAATCAGAACATTTGAAACCTTTTGTTACGTTTCTGTTTCTGTTTGCTCCTTGATTTCTAGTGTTTAGTTTTCTTTTCACCATGTTTCTTTATCCTAGTTATTTGATTATTATTTTGTTGTTGTTTTCTTATTAGTTCCTGTCTTCCAGGTTTTCCATTTGTTGTCCTCTGCTGCCCTCTTGTGTCCTCTTTCTCTTGCTCTGTTTTCTGTTCAGCCCTCACCTGTTTTCAATTCCCTCATTAGCCCTCTCCCTGTCTCTGTCCCCTTTAAAAGCCCTCCCTCTTCAGTTCCTGTTTGCTGGATTCTCGTCTAACCTCTGGTCTAACCTCGGGTCAATCGTCTGTCTGCCTTCCTCGTCTCTTCCTGGTTCCTAGATTTTGGTTTTCCCCTAAAGTCTCCTAGGTTCTGGTTCGTGAGCTATTTTTTGTTGGATTTTTTTATTCCTGCCTCAGGTGCCTTCAAGTACTTCATTACTTTTAAGTATTTTTTCTAAACTTTGGGAATTTTTTCAGGATTTAATAATATTCTGACTTTTTAAGGTGTTTTATTTTTTGATGATAGTTGTTTTTTTTATGGTTTTGGACATATTATTCTGTCTCTAAATGCTTCTTGTGTTTGGTATTAAAACACACAAACTTCAAACCATTAGACCTTTTAAATGCAACAGCACCTTTACTTGTTTACTTGAGGAGCGGTGGCCTACACTGCAAAAAACATCTAGAAATAAGTAAAAAAAATGTCTTAAATTAAGTGTATTTCCCCCTAATTTGAGCACGTAGATAAGATGATCTGCCAATGGAATTATTATTTTTACTCCTAAAATAAGATAATCAGATAATATACGCTTGAAATAAGACAAAGTAATTGTTTTTTTTCTTATTTTAAATGTAAATTGTCTTGTTTCATTGGCAAAGTATCTCACTTACCTCCTTAATTCAAGAAAAAATGCACTTAATTTGAGCAAGAATTATTTATTTAGATTTCCATTTTTTGCAGTGTAGTGGCTAGGCCATAGAGGTTGGAATCCTGAGGTTCTGAGTTCGAGCCCCACTCCCACAGACTGCCACTCCGGCTCTCTGAGCAAAGACCCTTAACCCCACACTGCTCCCTGTGGGCCGCACAATGGCAGCCCACTGTAATCCAAGGGGATGGGTTAAATGCTGAGGTAAATTTCTCCAATAAAAGCTCAATTCTAACTTATTTTCCCATGGTGACAGCTTAGTGGAACGCATGTATATTTATGGAGACAATTCAAAGGGCTCTACCTGAGTGAAGGATCCAAAAAGAAAAACCAAGTGTCTCCCACTTTATGATAAAGTCAGGTAAAGGGAAGCTGGACTACAAACTTAAACTAATGAGTTTGTGTTAAATCAGTGTTGGAACAATCTTAGTTCATAAAACCACTTTTTCATTTTTTTTTAACCTTTATTTAAATAAGGTGATTTGCCAATTGAATGAGTACACTGGAAAAAATCAAAATCTAGATAAGTGATTTTTTTCTTAAAATAAGTGCAATGGAACAAGACAATTTACATTTAAAATAAGAAAACGCAATTGCATTGTCTTATTTCCCAAAATACTCATTCCATTGGCAAATCATCGCATTTACCTACTCTAATTAAATGTAAATATACTTAATTTATAAAGTTTTTACCTATTTCTAGATCATTTTTGCAGTGTATTTTTGCTCTTAAAATAAAAATAATTAGATATTATACACTTGAAATAAGACAATGCAATATTTTTTCTTATTTTAAATGTAGATTGTCTTGTTCCATTGGCAAATTGTCTCACTTACATCCTTAATTCAAGAAAAATGCACTTATTTTAAGAAAAAAAGACTAATGTTGTGTTCTCCACTTTCTTAGTTCCTGCACCTATCTGATCAACTTCTTAGACAGACCTGTGAAGAAGCAGTTGCAATGTCATTATGTGCTTCTGGAGGTTCAGGTCTGAAACCATTACTGCAACCCAGACGCTCAAAAAAAAAAAAGGGAGTGATCAACAGTTTAAATCAGTGTTCATCCTTCTTTCTGGGTCATCCTTCTACCCCAAACGTCCGGGAAAACATGCAATTTTCTCATTTAAACAGGTTTGTTTAAACCACTTTTGCACCTGTTATCAATACAAGCATTATTTCTAAGCTATTCTCCAAAAAAACGTGTTTTTTTTTTAACTAGTTGTGCGCACCTAACCTCAAATTGTTAAAGATCAGGCCCTGCGATTAGCAAAGACCAACCAAGCTTCTGTAAAGAAGGAATTGCAAACAGGAAGCAGTCTGAACATGCAGTGAGGCGGAAGCGAGTGAAAGCTCAGGTGTGAATGCTCACTGATGAATTATTTCTTTCAGCTCACCTAAAACCTTTTATCCTCAGAGGGAACAGCTGCCACCCCTGATTGGACATTGTTCCGCTGAAAGTTCAGCATCAGATAACCTGGGAAATGTATCAGTAGATCCTTTTTGCAAAAAAACTCTGATCTTTACCTGAACTGAAACTCTATTCTCTGTGTTCAGCTCTGACTGCAACAATGGCTCATCCCTCAGGAGTCTTTCCTTTATTTAAAGATTTAAAATTCCTCAACCACGTCTGCCAAAAGCAAATAAAATAACGCTGATTTACAGCTTCAACCTGCAGCCGAGGTGATGAAGCAGGTTCTCCTTTGAAAAACCCAACATCAAGTAGAAAAAATTGTCTAATAAATGAAAAGTGGGAGTGCCACACTGGAAAAACTTCTTAAATTTAGTCTATTTACCCTTAATTTGAGTAGGTTAATGAGATAGGTTGCCACTGGAATGAGTATTTTTACTCTTAAAATAAGATAATTAGATAATATGTGCTTGAAATAAGACAATGCTATTGTGTTTTCTTATTTTAAATCTAAATTGTCTTTTTCCATTGGCAAAATGTCTCTTTTATCTCCTCAATTCAAATACAAATGCACTTATTTTAAGAAAAAAATGCTTATAGATTTTTCCAATGCGTGATGAGAAGCTGCAGGATTAACACTGAAAAAACGACCTCAAAATTAGTAAAAATGTCTTAAATTAAGAGTATTTACCCTTAATTTGAGCAATTAAATAAGATGGTTTGCAAATGGAATGCATATTTTTACTCTTAAAATAAGGTATCTAGATATTATGCACTTGATATAAGACAATGCAATTGTTTTTTTCTTATTTTAAGTGTAAATTGTCTTGTTCCACTGGCAAAGTGTCTCACTTAAATACTTAATTCAAGAAAAAATGCACTTGTTTTAAGAAAAAATTACTTATTTAGATTTAATATTTTTTTGCAGTGAAAGCGTTGGAGATCTTTTGGAAATAAGTGCAACAATATAGGATAAAAATAATGATCCAAAACGTAACAGAGCACCAAATAGACCTTAAAATGACCTTTAGATGGTAGAAACTGTTCATATTTTTTAGGGTTAAAAATGCAATGAATTTAGCTCACACTGAAAGTCTGAGAAAGATTCTGAGGAAAATATTTTATAAAGGGTGAGAAATATTTTAAAATGATTATTTTTTTTGTATCTGGGCAGCTTCATCTATAAAGTGGTTACTTTTTAATGTACCTCGAGCTTCAACTCAGTTGGGAAAAACTGCATTCTCGTACTCTGCACCTTGGAGATGGAAAAACCTCCAGAAAGAGCTCAAATTAGAAACTCTAGTTTCCATTAATGAATTTAAAGTAACCATGAAGAATGTAGTGATGGAGATATGTGCTTGTTTTTCCTGAGATGCTCAATGTGTTTTAATATACTGCTCTGATTTTATTATGAAAAATGTCATATGTTGTAAATATGTATGAACTTCACTGGAAAAACGATCTAGAAATGAGTAAAAACTTCTTAAATTAAGTCTATTTACCCTTGATTTGAGTAGGTAAATGAGAGAGTTTGCCAATGGAATGAGTATTTTTACTCTTAAAATGAGATAATTAGATAATATGCACTTGAAATAACACAGTGCAATTGTGTTTTCTTATTTTAAATCTAAATTGTCTTGTTCCATTGGCAAGATATCTCTTTTATCTCCTCAATTCAAGAACAAATGCACTTATTTTAAGAAAAAAATGACTTATCAAGATTTAGATTTTTTGCAGTGTTCCTGTGGTTTGGCTGCTACCTTGGCCAGGTCTCTCTTGAAAAAGAGATTCTGAATATCAATGGGACTAAATAAAGGTTAAATAAAAAAAAAGCATATTGAGACTGTTAGAGCTGAGGGTGATACATCCAAACTCTTGATTTGCTTGAAAAAAAAATCCTTCCTTACAGGTAAAAGGTTCAGCAACACTTTAAAGGTCAAAAGTGCCACAGAGGCTCTGAAGCCTGCAGGGTTGTGTGTGTGTTTGTAAATTTCACAAAAACGAGAGAGGAAGTGAGACAAAGACAGGAACCAAAATACACGAGTGAGAAAAAAAAATACATTCACTTTAACACACACCCTAATGACAGAGTGGGTGTGTTTGGGCGGGTGAACTCACTCAGACGTGATTTCATTTCAGGACGAACGAACGCACTGAAGAATAAGAATGAAGGAGAGAGAGGAGGTGGAGAGAGAGAGAGCTTCATCTGAGCGCGTGCAGAAGAGACTGAGAAGTCAGACAGAGCTGAGCAGGAATCAGAGCGTCTCCCTACAGAGGACAAGGACAGCTGGACGGATCACTTTCAACATCAGGAAGAAGCTTCAGCCTGAAGACCTGCAGGTTAGACCTCCACCTGGTTCTGTAAACTGACTGAGCTGCATTCATTTATCAGCTGCAGTACACTGGAAAAAGGATCTAAAAATAAGTAGAAATGTCTTAAATAAGGTGTATTTACGCTTAATTTGAGTAGGTAAAGGAGATAGGTTGCCAATGGAATGAGTATTTTTGCTCTTAAAATAAGAAAATTAGATCAAATGCACCTGAAATAAGAGAATGCAATTGTGTTTTCTTATTGTAAGTGTAAATTGTCTTATTCCTTGGCAAAATATCTCTTTTACCTACTAAATCCAAGAACAAATACACTTATTTTAAGAAAAAACAACTTATCTAGATTTCGACTTTTTTCCAGTGTAAAACCAAGCAGATTTACTTTTCAGTTTGTTTAGTCTAAAGATTAAAAACAGCCAGCATCTTTTATCAAGGGTCTGAAGCATAGATCTAGATGGATGTTTCTGATTATTCCTCATGGGCTTATTTGCATTGGCCCACCTGTTAAATTTAACTGTATTAATTCTGCAGAGCAATGTAGTCAAAAACTAACCAGAACACTGCAAAAAATGGAAATCTAAATAAGTCATCTTTGCTCAAATTAAATGCATTTTTTCTTGAATTGAGGAGGTAAGTGAGACACTCTGAAATTGGAACAAGACAATTTACATTTAAAATAAGAAAAAAAAACAATTGCTTTGTCTTATTTCAAGTGTATATTATCTAATGATCTTATTTTAGGAGTAAAAATACTCATTCCATTGGCAGATAATCTCATTTACCTGCTCAAATTAAGGGTAAATACACTTAATTTAAGACGGTTTTTACTTATATCTACATGTTTTTTTGCAGTGAAGGATGTGAGAAGCTTCACTGCGAAAAACGATCTAGAAATAAGTAAAAAGGGCTTAAATTAAGTGTATTTACCCTTAATTTAAGTCAGTAAATGAAATAGTTTGCCAATGGAATGAGTACTTTTACTCTTAAAATAAGATAATTAGATAATATGCACTTGAAATAACACAATGCAATTGTGTTTTCTTATTTTAAGTGTAAATTGTCTTGTTTCATTGGCAAAATGTGTGTTTTACCTCTTTAATCCAAGAACAAATGCACTTATTTTAAGAAAAAATGACTTATCTAGATTTTGATTTTTTTCCAGTGTTTATGGCCATAAAAAGCATTTGGTTAAAAGTTCTGCTTGGAGAAGAGATGTTTAGTTAACATCATGGGGTTGGTGTAGGTCTAGAATTTAACCTTTGTATAAATGGCAGTTCTAATAACAAAGCTCTACAGACATGGAAGTAAAATTATGGAAGTCGGTGACTAGATAAACACCAATCGGCTGTTTAACACACCGACAGCAGCGATTATAGTGATTAAATAAAGTCTTTATTAATACTACTGAACAGCCAATCAATTTAGAGCATTCTGCAGGCAATTTGTGTCGGTTTTGCTTTGTGGGATGAGTAGTCCAACAATGGGAAGGTTGCCGGTTTGATTCCAGCTGCCACATGTTAAAGTGTCTTTTGGCAGGATTCTGAGCACCAAGCATCCTGATCTGTGTTCTGGTATAGAAATGTGTTCAATTCAGTTTATTTCTATAGCGCCAATTCACAGCACATGTCATCTCAAGGCACTTTACAGTTCAACCAGATCATCCAGTCAGATTGATTCAAAGTTTCCTATCTAAGGAAAACCAGCTGATTGCATTGATTCATTGACTCGAATGCAATTCCTCGCACTAAGCATGCTTGTAGCGACAGTGGAGAGGAAAAACTCCCTTTGAACAGGAAGAAACCTCCAACAGAACCAGGTTCAGTGTGAGCGGCGATCTGCCCAGCTCCCATGTCAGAGGATGAAGAGAGCACATCCAGTTAGTCACAGTCAGAGAAACAGGACTACACTGAAAAACAGGCCGATCTCCAACATCTATAAACAAAGGTGTTGATGGCAGCATGTTCATGGATTAATGAGCTCAGTCCTTTTACCTCCCGACTATAAATAAATAATGAGGTTTTTATTGTTCTCTCCAGGCCTTCAGTGATGTCTGTTTAACTCACGCTCCTATTCCTCCAGGTTTGAGTCTCCATGGGGAGTGAAACGATTGCTCTACTGAGCATCTGTCTCAGTGCGTGTCTGGCATTCAATGTGGACACTTCGTTTCCGGTGCTGAAGACAGTAGAGGGCAAGAGTTTGTTTGGATTCTCTGTTGCTCTGCATGAGGATCTGGAGACGGGGGACTACCTGTGAGTGAACACGGCCCTTCTAACACTGCAAAAATGTTGTAAGAATGAGTAAATATTTTTCAAAATAAGCTTATTTAGCCTTAATCTGAGTAAGAAAATAAGATGATCTACTACTTAAAATAAGATAATTTGATATAATGCACTTTCAATAAGAGATTGTAGTTGTTTTTTCTTATTTTAAATGTAAATAGTCCTTTTCCATTGGTCCATTTCCATTTATTTTCAGAAAAAAATGTATTACCTAGATTTCCATATTCTTTCTGTCATGTTTTTTGGACAGTAAGATCTAAAGAGAAGCGTTATCTCCTGGTCAGATCCTGTAATTCTGTGAAAGGGTGGAGTCAGTAAAAAAATATGCAAGAGGGGGGTTACTATAGTGGCTGTAAGTCGGAGGGGATTTTGCTGGGAGTTACAGGGAAGTGGTCTGCCATTCGACTGCCGTTTGACAGGGAAGGGCCATTTTGAATGGCTGCTACTGTGTAGCTGTTTCTAACAAAAACAGCACAGATCTATCCCTCTAATGCAGTGGTCTCCACCCCTGGTCCTCAAGATCTACTGTCCTACAGATTTTAGATGCATCCCTGCTTCAACACAGCTGAATCACATGATTGATTACCTTTTCAAGCCATTCATTTGATTCAGCTGTGTTGAAGCAGTGATGCATCTAAAATCTGTAGGACAGTAGATCTTGAGGACCAGGGTTGGAGACCACTGCTCTAATGAAAACTCAAACCCTCCAGGGCCGGTGTCCAGCTATTTTTAGATTTACCCTTTGCCCCAAGAAGCTCAGTCAAATCGTCTGTCAAGCTCTGCTAATGAGCTCATATTGGAGTCAGGTATGTTGAAACAGTGACACATTTAAATGTTGTTCAGCCTGTCATTGCTAGGCTGTCTCTGTTTTTGTCCCTCTCTCAAAATAGTCTTCAAAAGCTGCACTCTAATTGGCCCTTTTATGTTTGTGCTGACACTTATGCGACCAAATATGCAGCAGTGGTTTTATCAGTTTCCTCCAAAGGGTTGAAGTGTTAAACGCCTCGCAGAGGCAGAGCTGTGGTCTGCAACTAAGTATTTAAACACCTGAGAAAATCAATGCTAATATTTGGTATAGTAGCCATTGTTGGCAATTCAGGAGGTTAAACGTTTCCTGTAGTTTTTCAATAGGTTTGCACACGCTGCAGGAGGGATTTTGGCCCACTCCTCCACAAAAATCTTCCCTAGATCATTCAGATTTCTGGGCTGTCACTGAGAAACGTGGAGTCTGAGCTCCCTCCAAAGATTGTCTACTGGGTGTTGTGCCATATGCCATGATCATACTTTTTGGACATTGGGAAGCAGTGTCCATATTTCATCCTGATAGGATGACCAGAGAAGAAAACGCAGCTTTGGTGAATAACAGCTGGGGGACTTCTGCAGCCCCCCTTTTTCAGCCAAAGCAGCCACAAGCAGTCACATGGAAGTCACAGAGGTGTGAAAACCTACCCCCCTCCCTGTGAGAACAGAACAAAGCCACAGAGCACACAGGATTCTTCCTCTTCTCTCTTCACTTTTTCTCCCTCGTCTGATCCAGCCTGCTTCTGCTCCTGCTCTCAAAGCTGGGGCCCACTGTGGCCCACAGTGGAGATGCAGGCCCCAGGGAAACCAGATCCCCGGAACCATCAAGGATGAGTCAGAGATTTTTAGAACCTAACTGCTGCAAACAGAACCTTTGCAACACATTTCTCTTGAGTTTCAGAACTTACAGAGCCAAACTGGATGAAGAGCATGCCCTGGTTTGAGACTGAGGGGACCCCTGCTGTGAGACTGAGACAAAGAACCCCTGACTGCAGAGCTGCAAAACTGGATGAAACTCAAGCTTTCCAAACGGACATGGACAAAGGTTTGCAGGTCTGGCATGATTAGGGACAGAACAAGCAATGTGTCTTTTGATGATGCTAATCATATCGTGTGTTTACTGCTCAGTAAAGACAACGCTAATTGATGCTAAAGAATGGACTGCATGCTACGCTATGCTACAGGAATATGTGTTGAGCTGTTGCTAAAGCTTAGACAAGCTTTATTCACTAAGGAGTTAACACTGATAGAACATTAGTGTTCACGTGTTCCTCAAATGCTCATTACATTTCCATTGCCAAGTATGACCAAGAGTCATTTAGTGGAATCCCGATGTCTATTCGCTGCTAGCTATTTCAAAGAGGGTAAAGAATCATTTAGCTAAAGGTTATTGGTTCTTGATTAAGCAAATCATTCAATAGAACATTATTTGGCCAAATAATGTTTTATTCACCTCATGGATTTGCATTGTGAATTGGTCTGAAAACATTCCAATGTCCTTAAAATTAGTGAAAAGCTAATTTGATCATATCCCAAATTCTTCCAGATAAACTTTGGTTTCAAACACAGAATACATCTTAAACTGTAATATGTTTTTCAACCATTTTTCCCTTCCTCTTTGTACATAGTAGTTAGTTTAGTTTAGTTGAGTTTTACTAGTCTTAGTTGAGAGTGTTAAACTAAAATATGTTTGACTTGGAGCTGAATGATTTTTGTTAATAAAATCTTATATTTTGAACAGAAGTTGTGGTGAATTTATTCCATGTATGTGCAGAAATGACTGTTTGACCATGATTAGTGCTCGAATCACTCTTTCATCTATTGTTCTAACACACAGTTAGTAGGACTGTGTGTCATAAACACTATATAACAGCTGAAATAATATCTGATTAAATAAGATATTTTACCACCCCTACAGGGGAGGGCAATAAACATCTTAAAGTATCAGAAACATAAATTCCCAGCGGGCTGGGAATAGAATTTAACTATAGAATCACAACATAAATATGGCGTCCCTGATTGCTGGGCCCATTAATTGTAACATTTATTTAGCGTCCCATGCTACTGGGCTCATTGAATGTAACATTTAATTGGTGTCTCAGTTTGGTGGTCATCGAATATAACAGTCATTCTGCACATATATGAGAATAAACTTAGAGCCATTATTGAAAACCGTGTGAAAGCATTAACATCAGCTCTCACCACTCAATAATGAAATCTTAAACTCACAACTTAAGAATCCAATACTAAATGTCTTAGCTTATATGAGAAGAAAATATAACCTTTGACATTCTTGGAGCATCAAAATATAGAAAATTTAACTAAATCCAATAACTCCAAAATATCTCTTCAGCTAGTGATAACCAACTTTACTTCAAAGCAAAACTCAGATGATTCAAATCAATCTGATCACTTTGGTCCAACTAAAACTAAAAGATTTAACACCCAAGTTAATCTTATCGTTCGACCAAAATTTAGGCACATCTATAACTAGATGCTGCCATTTGTGGTTTATATAACCACATCCCAAAAATGAAAACTCCCAAGTTATGCTATTTCAAAGTCACCTCCAGTCCAAAATAGGTTAGATGCCTCGAAATTTAACCTTAATCCCTTTGTCTTTTAGTCTGATAAGACTCCTAAACACTTATTGTATATTGTGTAGAACAAGATTTGTTGCCAGATTTAACGTAAGTTAATCTGTGATCCTACCCAACCGAAAGGGGGTGGATTCAAATTAAATTGCTTAAAATCCCTTAAAGAAAGGTGAATCATAAGCTAATTTGCTAGTAAAACCTTAAAGGGTAAGCTTTGCGCCAAACTGCTTATAAATCCTCCAAGACAGGTAAAGCATGCGCTAAAATAGCTAATAAATCCTAAAACAAGGTATAGCATTTTTAACACTGAAAGAAAAGTGTTTCTTTGATATCACAGAAAAGGGTGAATCATAAGCAAAATTGCTTGTAAGTCCTTAAAAGGTAAGCTTTGCGCCAAACTGCTTATAAATCCTCAGAGACAGGTAAAGCATGCGCTAAAATAGCTGGTAAATCCTAAACAAGGTGTAGCATTTCTAACACTGAAAGAAAAGTGTTTCTTTGATATCACAGGTTTAAAGATAACCCGTGACCCGTTTCTACACACATAAAAATAAGTCCTTACAATATGTATATGTAAATATACAAGTATAGTGGGTACTGACTGGATTGTGTTCTTTTGAAATTTCTTCATAACTTGTGTTTTTGTGCCATCAGCTGAAAATGGATCCAAGCATCCTCAATTCTGGGCGCACCATTGACTCCATAGGCATAGAGAAACAGAAACAAATTGTTGCAAAGCTTATCCACTTATCTTCAGAAAAGCAGGATAACCTAAACAATTTTAACCTCAGCCTATGTGAAGAAAAGATTCAAGAATTAATTAACTTAATTCAAAACCCAAATGGAAACTTTCTGATAACAGATGTACTCTGTGAGCTCACGCTTCTTTATCAGCTTAAATCCCAAATAAAAGCTAAACAGTACTCTGAGTTAGAAGCCAAATATCAGATGATCTGCCACAGAGTAAGTGCTGCAAACATTTTATTGTCAGGAGCTGACAAGATCAAAGACCCATGTGGCCAGACTGACCATGCCTCAGAACAAACGGTGACCCCCCTCTTGGAGGAGCTATGCAATAAACAAAGCAAGCAGACTTTGAATCAGCAGGAGGTCACCCCAGTCAAAAGGAGAACAGTTCCTGAAGCAGATACAAAGTCTCTAAACTCTGAGTTAACACTAAATAGATCTGAAGATGTTCAAAGTCAAAGTAGTGTCTCAGACAGAGAGGAACAAGTAGATAACTTGATAAACTCAAGCAGTTTAAAATTTTGCAAAGGACAGCCATGCAAACCAATCTCTGTCTCACTCTCCGCTGACCGAGCACCAAGTGCCAAAGTTCACACCTTGAAAAACTCTGAGGAGAACCAGTCTCCCTTGTGTCTTCAAAGGTTAGCTCAAAACCCCCCACCACTTAATGAGCAGAACCAGCTTCCTGACGGGCCAGGTCCACCGAGTGACCATAGAATTCAACAAATTGAATCCTTGGCCAAAGACATTGATATTTTTGACCCAGAAAGTCAACACTCCAACATAGCTGATTATCTGCAAGAAGTTGAGCACTGTCTAAAAGAC